CAAATGGGCAGACTTTTTCACCTTGATGCCCCTGTTACCTAGCAGTAAATAGGTACCTAGGAGCTAGGCAGCTGTTACAGGCTGCTTCCTGGTGTGTGTGTGTGTGGTGTGTGTGTGAAAAAATAATCGTTGATTGATAGATGAGAGGTGGGCCGAAAGAGCGAAAAGCTCAACCCCCTGCAAGCACAACTAGGTAAGTACAACTGGGTGAATACAGACAGAGGGGTGAAAGAATAAGAAGATTGGGAGATTCATGTGTTCTAAAACGTCTGAGATACCGGCGGAACGGCAAGGCTATTAGCGGTTTTGATATGTGATATATCAACCCGTCCTCTTAAAAATAACGTCACTTTTCGCTCGTATGCGCCGCTCTATGGCCAAATTTGGACGTAATTTGAAATGAAATCGACTCACAAAAGTGACGTACTGTCCCGTTTTCTGTTTGAGTCGTCCGGCTTACTCGGCAAGCTTAGAAGAGGAAACTTTTCATTAACGTTTTTCATACCGTTTTAAAACTTTGAGAATTTCCTGCCCACCTAACCTATCAGAGGACCCTTAACTTACTGTTGTTGAAAAAAATAATCCCAAATTTATTTTCATTTTTTTTCATTTTGAAATTACGTCCATATTCGGCCATACGGGCAAACGGCCAGAAGCGACGTTCTTTTTAAGAGGACAGGTTGAGGGCATAAGCCTATAAATAGGCCGCACGAGTACTGCTACAATAATGACGCTGGCGATGCTTGTTCGGTCTTATATCAGTTATTGATAACCGGAAGCATCGTAGGCTGAGGCTAACACAGAAATTCTGTACTTAAAGGACTCGTGTGGTCGTTAACCATCTCAAGGTCGAGACAGACAATACCAACAGCAGTAACTGTGCACACAACTATAACTATGCACAGCAACAACAGCACATATGCACAGCAACAACAGCAACTATGCACAACAACTATGCACAGCAACAACAGCACATATACACAGCAACAACAGCACATATGCACAGCAACAACAGCAACTATGCATAGCAACAACTTGCACAATATTAAAAGATCAAGAAACTCCTGCCAAACCAGTAATGATTTTCTATAACAGAAGAAATGCGATGTGTGGCAACGAGAGTTTGGTGGCGGCGATCTGGTGACCGGGGCCGTAGCTTTGGTGCAGGTGGCAATGGTTGTAATTGTGGTGGTGGTGGTAATTGGGATGGTATTATTGGTGGTTATGGAGTTAGTAGAGGTTTTGATGGGCGTTGAAGAGAAGATATTGATCACATATTGCTGTAGTGGGGTGGGGATTGATGTGCTGGATTGAGTGGTGGTATTATCGTGGCTGTAGTGGTTTTGATGGTAGTTGTAGCGCCGGCAGTGATGTTTGTGGGTGTGGTGATGGATTTTTGTAGTGGCTGACGGGGCGGCAAATTGGTAGCAGGCGAGATGAAAGCCGTGGAGACGATAGCTGTAGGAGACGATACCGTTGGTGGTGGCTGTAGCCATGAGCTGTCTGCTGTGTTATTGTTGGTGATGGTGAGGGTTACAGTGGGTGTTGGTGGTGATGGTGAGGGTTACAGTGGGTGTTGGTGGTGATGGTGAGGGTCACAGTGGGTGTTGGTGGTGATGGTGAGGGTTACAGTGGGTGTTGGTGGTGATGGTGAGGGTTACAGTGGGTGTTGGTGGTGATGGTGAGGGTTACAGTGGGTGTTGTTGGTGATGGTGAGGGTTACAGTGGGTGTTGGTGATGGTGAGGGTCACAGTGGGTGTTGGTGGTGATGGTGAGGGTCACAGTGGGTGTTGTTGGTGATGGTGAGGGTTACAGTGGGTGTTGGTGATGGTGAGGGTCACAGTGGGTGTTGGTGGTGATGGTGAGGGTCACAGTGGGTGTTGGTGGTGATGGTGAGGGTCACAGTGGGTGTTGGTGGTGATGGTGAGGGTTACAGTGGGTGTTGGTGGTGATGGTGAGGGTTACAGTGAGTGTTGTTGGTGATAGTGAGGGTTACAGTGGGTGTTGGTGGTGCTGACTGTGGTGATTGTGATAGCGGTTGTAGGTACTGTATGGTAGACGTGGTAGGTGTTTTGGTATTGGTAGTTTAGGTGTGATTCTTTTTGTTGAAGTGTTGTGGCATGGTTATTGCGGTGGTGGGAGAGCTGTTAGTGTCAGCCCGTCCTCCTAAGGTTTCCCAACTTCAAGAAACCGGTAAATTTAAAGTGTCTTCTCTTAACCTCCCAGAGGAACCAAAACAGAAAACGGGACAGTACATCACTTTCGCGAGCCGCTTAAAATTTTCTAGTACACCAATTTTTAGCCTTTTGTAACGCATACGAGTGAAACGCTATGGTCTTTGTCAGAGAACATGTTGGTCGGTGATGGGGAAGCTGTGGAGATGGGGATTGCGGTGAAAATAGTGGGCATAGGCTTGGTTGTGACGCTGGGAGACCGTTTTTGTGTTAGCTATAATAGCGGTGTTCAGTGGCAGTGGTGGTGGTTGTATGTGTAGTTATGGTTATATTGGCAGTAGTGGCAGTGGTGTGTTGGTTGTGAGGGTACTGGTGGCTGTGATGGAATCTGCATAATGTAGGAAGTTTATGGGGTCGTGGTTTATAATGTTTGGTTCGCAAATGTTGGGGACAGGGAAAGTTTTAATCTTGTCTAGGTCCACCTACCAAAGGACTGACCTCTCCCAGGATGCAACCACTCACGGAAATATATATAGAGTGTTTGTCCGCCGCCAAATAAGAGATTGACGGGCGTCATTTCGATGCCATATTGAAATTCATAGCGTACAATTCCAGGAGTGTGTAAAACATTACTATTTTTTGCATTATAGAGCGTATTAAGATGCGTTATTGACATGAATGTGAAAGGTTGTCAAACTAGCAAATTATTTAAATCATAATTTTAAATAATAATTATTATTTTAAATGCACAAGTTATAGGGAAATATAATCAATATTTATGCAAATAAAAAACTCATAAAGGTTTCTTAGAAGTGCCCAAGTCTACCTAGAGCCGCTAATAATTACGAAAAAATCAAAAGACAATATATTTCTGTGATAATGTTTGTGGATCTTAAACAATGTATATTTTTGCCCAGAAATAAATTTATTTTATAAGAAAGTACGACGTAAAAGGTACCTCTCACTATCTAAATATCTATCTTTCGCTTCCTAAATAGGCAGATATCTGCAAAATTCCTATTGGAAACCATTGCATTACTCCCTTCACACGATAATTCCGATAATTCAATAATTCACTTAATACGATAATCCAATAAGCCCACGACATGTTAGAAGTCCATTTGTACATGAAATCACTAGTGATGATGCTTTCCCCGTGTATCCCAATATTTACGCACAAATATAGTGAGTTAAAGGGGATGCCTTTTATGATGAATAATCTCTATGACTAGATAAGACTTCGTGACGCAGTAACTCAATTATCTCTTTCAAGAGAGTATATCGGTCCAGCCCGTTCTCTTGATATGTAACAACGTACAAAATACAAAGAGCTTAACTAATCAGAAACGTATTTATCCAAGCAACTCACCTAACCTAACGTAACCTAACGTGACGTAACCTAACGTGACGTAACCTGACGTAACCAAACGTAACTTATCGACGCACAGAAAAACTTGAATTTTTGCGAGCCGCTACTTTTCATAGTTCTGTGAAATTTGTACTTTAGGGACAATAACGAAAAAAATGAGACGTATTACTTAAAAAGAATGGTTGTAATCTTGTATGTAACCTATAGAAAGTCGCAACATATATGTTGGTAGAAATATTGACAGATAGAGAATATTGTTTCGCCTTCCGTTTAACGAATCATTCAAACCATCAAAACTATTAGTTGCCTGTGTCAGGCAATAGCTGTCGTTGTAGGGGCGTCCCGAATATCAGAGCCATCTATTGGTTGACGGGTGAGTCGTGCAACTTGCCAACTAGGAATATGACTTATCAGTAGGGTTCGTAATGGTTTTTCCCTGCAGTCTTTATCGTCCGTCCTGCTGGTAACAACAGGCAAAACACTGTCTTCTGCAGTAGCACTGCCACGGTGTACTGATTTCGTCTATGGTGCTTCGTAACGCAATTTCCTACCAAATATTTAGTAAGTACCGATTCCTAGTGTATTTCGTTAATAATAATATTTATTTAGTTAAAAGTACATGCATACAAAATAGGATACAAGAAGAAAGTTTGATATCTAGTTACGGCAAGAATTTACTAAACCTAAAACCACTAATACGCACAGCGTTTCGGTCATTAACGGCCGAGATGCCTTTATGGTTTTACGTGATTGTTTCGCGTGATTATTATGTTCTGATATATACCGGCTTTGGCCACACGCAGCAAGATTCCTTGTTTTCCTTTTAGTGTCATTAATATCCAATTGCTTAAAGTTCACACGGTTAGTTTTGAGGCAATGTTTTTCAAATTTCGCATCTGAAAATTAACCGTCTTTGTAGCAATTATTCTATAGAATAAACTTCGCCTAACACAAAATTGCTACTGTATCATGTGGTTTATAATGGTGTTGAAGATGCCGCTTCTCAACTTTTACATATCATATAATGTGTAACTTTCAGCGATTCATTATAACCTTACTTCGCTTTTGATTTTTTTCTAAATGGCATGCGAATACAGATCCGCGATTTTTTTTTTCTTAAGCGAATTTGGTTGGCTAAAACCTAATAAATGTTTTGGGCATTTATTTTCTTAAAGTAAAAATTACTGGGCATAATGGAGGGACGACGACGTTTCGACTTGAGAATGGTCTAGGACGGACCGAAACGTCGTCGTCCCTTTATTTTCTAGTGTGTGGATTGGTCAACATAGTTCCGCCACGTTATTGTGACTCATCGCCTGCATACTGGGCATAAGGTTAGTTAAAAATAACCATTTTATTGCGTTAAAAGTAAAAATTTTTTTTAACTCTTGCGGTGTTTAGCTATTGTGTACATATTTTAACGAGCTGTGATAATCGGTCTTTCCAAAATATTCCAGATCACACATACCATGGAGACCACACTGAAGACGTCGCCATATTCCTTATGCAAAGTAAAGAGGGGGAGGCAGCCACAAACAGAACAAGGTATAGATGGCGAGTGCAGAGGATGCTGCAGGACACTCTCGGAACGTCTCTTCGCGTCTGGAGTAACTAACTGTTTAACTGACCTAACAGTCACATTTGCTAAAGGCCAAAGTATTCGTAAGGTAAACCTTTGCTCTTTAGTCCACAAATGCAATATTATGTAATATTTATCTGTGCATGAATCTGTACACGAATTCTTGTACTCCTATTTTTCGTATGCCAGCTCCTTAGCCCCGACATTAGTGTTGGTTCGCTTTTGTAATACCACTCTGGATTCTGAGTCCAATCACGAAGAACAAAAGAATTTAGATTGGTTTTTGTTTTTAATGTAATTTACTATTTTCACACTGCCGAACAGTAATGGTGGTAGAAAACGAGAACGTGTTGCCATAATAATTTAGCACTTGGAAGTATATGGAGCTGAATGATTGGTACCTAACCAATTAAAAGATCGGGAATTAATTTGTCAATATTCATAATAGTTTTGCGCGTAACAATTCCCTTCTAAATATTTACATAACTTTGAGGTTCCATAAATTTATGATTAACTACTGTACAATTTTCAGCTTCAGTTTAACGTTGCGCGACTCATCCTGCCAGCTCTGAGTAAACTAGTCTAGTTTAGTGTCCACAACGACACTTTGTCCACTTTACATATGCTGCTGCCGTGCGCCAACATTTGGTTTGGTATCCAATGTTTCAGGAAGATACTCTAATGCCTTCAATAGCTTTGTCTTCCGTCATTAACCTATTAAAATAATTTAAAATTTATCTGACGTCTTCTGTGAATAGCTTCATCATAGTCGGTTTGAATGTTGTTCACGCTCTGACTGTAGAGCACAACATGCACGTCTTTTCACCTTTTTATTCATGGGCGTTTGCTTGCTTCCATAATAAATATTAAATTTATTTTTTTATGCAAAAATTTTAACATTCCTCTGGGTTCTCTCGTCCATATGACTGTAAATTCATCTAATCTTACGGGTGAAAAAGGTAATGTTTGCATGTGCAGTGTTTCTAGAGATTCTCTTCTGAGTTTATTTCCCTAGCTAAATGGTTTGTGATAAACAACATTGGTTCTAGGACCGAACCCCTGGGACACTTCATATCCTACGGTTAACGGCACGAATTTCTGCGATGGTTTATGCTAGCAATTTACATTTTTATAATTAAATCCTTAATAAAGCTTAAATGTGACCCAATACACTAATTTGCTGATACAACAGGTCCATCGACTACTGCTCGGATTGTCGTCCCCAGTCTTCGAAGCGATGCTCTATGGTCCCATGGCTGTAGGAGACGTTCTCCACCTGCCTGAAGACGACCCAGTTGCTTTCCAGTGGATGCTGAATTACCTCTACTTTGACAGAAGAGACCTGTCCAGCACTCTAGCTCCGCAAGTGTACCAGCTCGCCCACAAGTACTTTTTGTGCGACCTCCACAAGCTCTGCACCAAGGTAATTTGCATGGTGTTTGTGTGTATCGAGGCGATATGTGTGTGTTTTGGGGGGACGGTGGTTTTTCGGTATAGGAAAGTGAGCGGGGAGGGTGCATTTTTTTGTAGCTCTGTGTTAGTCCTATAAATAGTTAAATGTTCTGTGTAGAACTATCAAATTTTTCATAACCAGAAGGGTTAAAAATACTTGGATGTTTATTTTCAAAATTTTCTTCTGGTATGCTTGTTTAGAAACCTTGTTATTGAAAACCAATAGTTGACAGTGTAATTCTTTTCCAGATCCTCTTGGAGAACATAAACCCCGTGAACTTCCCAAAGATTTACGATCTCGCCATTTTAACAGAGAATGAGGCGCTATTGTCCCAGTGTCAGTTGGTAAGTTCCACACGAAAATTTACGGAATCGGTATGTATATAATCATATTAAAAGTATCATTAGTTATCAAATTTTAAATGGGAATAATACCTTTGAGACAGTGTTCGGGTATGCCATGCCAACTTGACTACAATTTTTCAGAATTTGAAACGCATTAACTGTACATTATCGCGAGTGTGAAAGAATAGACATATTTCACTTAATAAACCTTTTTAAATATGTACACTTAATGCTTAATTAAAAGCAGTAAGAGTATCCCAGTTTATGCAAGGGTAAATGGCAAGAAAGACAAACTTCACAGGTCTAGTAATATAATAATAATGTCAAGAGAATTAGCTGCTGTATATAGAAGGAACATGTGTAGCGATACTATAACGAGGTATTCTTGACCAAATGAAGTCATAAGAATATTTATCAAAAAACGCTTGGCAGAAATGATAAGCTGCTGATTGGTGATACAAATTGAAATAAGATTGAGGAAGAACATGATAGGCTGAGGATATGGGAAAGTCAGTTAGTTAATAGATAAGCATATCTCATTCGGTTAGAAACTAAAACTGAAAGAAGCAGATTAGAGGGAGTTTGACAGTAAATGTTGAAGATTTACCCGTCACTTTAGTTTTCTCTTGTATAAATAAAATATTCAGGAAGTCTGCACAAGTTTCAGTACCACATTTACCATGACATTCCGATTACTCGTATTAGATCTCTATATTCCACACCTGTATGATTAACTGGAAATTTTCATTAACCCGTTCATGTATATATTAGTAACAAGTTAATAAAATGACTTAATAAAACTCGTAGCACCATTAACATGCTGTCTGAACGCCAATATCTTGTGTAAGTACCATCTTCCTCCGTCGTGTATCACTGATAAATGTGTATTTATTTAACTTTTAATTGCAGTCCACTTTTATTCGCCAGTCAAGTTAATAAACTTGATTTTCTTTCTCCTCCACCTCGTTCAGCGAAGCACTTTCTTCCTCTAGTTTCGGCTACTTCGTACACTGTGATCTTAACAAAACTTTTCTTGTATGCACTTAAGGCTCATTTGCTCAGTCTTTCCTCCTATATCGCATCCTTTTGTAATAAATTGCCAGTTACACGCATAAAATTTTAAATTTCAATAACTTTCTCCTCCTTGCTACGTACAATCGGTCCTTCATTAATGTTGCCATACACCGTACCATCATGTAAACAAAATCTTCCAGATGTTCCTATCAATGTTTTAGTTTGTACACAATTAAATAAGCAATTGTTTGGTATATTTGAATTTTTAATCCTATTCCATGACCTTAAATGTATCGCCCTCATATTTTATGAATTGATTGGTAATTTAAGAGTTATGTATTTAAGAAATATATATAATAACTCTTACATAGTACGATATAAAGGACTATTTGCTATTTTCATGTTCAAATATTTATTAAGTTAACTTTTTAAAATTCATGTTTACTTCGGAGAATGATTTATATTAGTGATAGTGCTATTTTTTGTAGTTACATATGGTGAAAACGATCCTTGAAACAATTCATACAGTAACATTGATGTTCAAATATTTTCATTCTTTGGTATACACATTATTACTAAATCTTCAGTATACCCGGGTAAACTTACTGAACTTTTCACTGGACAGGTTCTCAGGCAGACTGACGCAGTACTGTCTTCTCCTACCTTTGGCTTCCTCAGTCGTATAGCACTCGGGTCACTTCTTCAGGAGGCGTCATTTGAACCAACTTCAGATGTACTGCTGTACAAAGCCATCGTTACCTGGTAAGTAGCTAAAATTGCATACTTACGTAAAGAGCCAATAAGTTTTTTGGGATTTGGGGGGGGGGGGGATTTAGGGGTTATCTTGGTTTATAACGCGGTGGAAACTCTTTTCGTTGCGTTTGTGCACTAATTACTTTAAGTGTAAGCCAATCAAAGAGTTGAATAATTAAAAATGTTAATATAAATTGTTGCTTATTAGGGTATAATCATGACGTGTATAATCAGCGTTTTCTATTCGCCTGGAAAATTGTCGTAAAATGGAGGATTTAGTGCTGCCAGGTTAAATTGATTTTCTTAGTAGCTGATCTAGTTATCTTGAGGTTATCTTGAGATGATTTCGGGGCTTTTTAGTGTCCCCGCGGCCCGGTCCTCGACCAGGCCTCCACCCCCAGGAAGCAGCCCGTGACAGCTGACTAACACCCAGGTACCTATTTTACTGCTAGGTAACAGGGGCATAGGGTGAAAGACTCTGCCCATTGTTTCTCGCCGGCGCCTGGGATCGAACCCAGGACCACAGGATCACAAGTCCAGCGTGCTGTCCGCTCAGCCGACCGGCTCCTAGTTAGACCAAGGCAAAGCGTACACATGTCTGGAAACCTTATTTGTGTCTGTTCTATACACGTTTACCTTCACCCTCTTTCCCCCCCTCTTTCCCCCCCTCTTTCCCCCCCTCTTTCCCCCCCTCTTTCCCCCCCTCTTTCCCCCCCTCTTTCCCCCCCTCTTTCCCCCCCCCCTCTTTCCCCCCCTCTTTCCCCCCCTCTTTCCCCCCCTCTTTCCCCCCCTCTTTCCCCCCCTCTTTCCCCCCCCTCTTTCCCCCCCCTCTTTCCCCCCCTCTTTCCCCCCCTCTTTCCCCCCCTCTTTCCCCCCCTCTTTCCCCCCTCTTTCCCCCCCTCTTTCCCCCCCTCTTTCCCCCCCTCTTTCCCCCCCTCTTTCCCCCCCCTCTTTCCCCCCCCTCTTTCCCCCCCCTCTTTCCCCCCCCTCTTTCCCCCCCCTCTTTCCCCCCCCTCTTTCCCCCCCCTCTTTCCCCCCCCTCTTTCCCCCCCCCTCTTTCCCCCCCCTCTTTCCCCCCCCTCTTTCCCCCCCCTCTTTCCCCCCCCTCTTTCCCCCCCCCCCTCTTTCCCCCCCCCCCTCTTTCCCCCCCCCCCTCTTTCCCCCCCCCTCTTTCCCCCCCCTCTTTCCCCCCCCCTCTTTCCCCCCCCTCTTTCCCCCCCCTCTTTCCCCCCCCTCTTTCCCCCCCCTCTTTCCCCCCCCTCTTTCCCCCCCCTCTTTCCCCCCCCTCTTTCCCCCCCCTCTTTCCCCCCCTCTTTCCCCCCCCCTCTTTTCCCCCCCCTCTTTTCCCCCCCCTCTTTTCCCCCCCTCTTTTCCCCCCCTCTTTTCCCCCCCTCTTTTCCCCCCCTCTTTTCCCCCCCTCTTTTCCCCCCCTCTTCCCCCCCTCTTCCCCCCCCTCAAATTAAAATTAGAGGAAAAGATGTCCTTACTCTAAGGGAGGACAACTTAAAATGTCTTGAACTAGTTATTTTCCTATTTCATGTTGCTTGTGCAACCCCCTCAAATCCTCACTTTCTCGTGGCCCACCCCCCTTTTCTTCTCGGTACTGCTTTGGCATCCTTTGCTGCAATAAGCAGGACTGAAAAATCTCTACCCCTCAACAGCATGTTACACGATGTGATCCCACAAAACACTGTTCACACAGCACACATTTCCTCCTCCCCCAAACTCTGCCTACTTCGACCGAAGCTTACCCGCATAAAGGCAATTTTCCGTATCGAAGGTGGTCTTCCGGAACTCCGTCGGTACATCTAATCCTCAAAGGGTGCCGACATCCTCTTATTACATTCGATCACAGCTGATATTACCTCCCCCCCCCCCAACTTAGCCGACATAGAGTAAAACTTCATGACAACTTATGCTACTCTTGTACTGTGTTTTCCGGCAACAGGAAACCCGATCCTGCCTCCTTCCTTCTCATAGATGGGAAAAGTGTTGTTATTGGTAATTCTGCTACACCTGCTCCTGGTGTGGAGCCGCCGCCTCTTAGATTTCTTCGTTGTCGCCATTACTTCACATTCATAAATATCTGAACACACGAACACTCTTTATAACGCTTCTTTCCTACCTCCTTCCCGGTTTGGTGCCTTCTTTTGATAATTACTTACTTCTTTCCTACCTGAATTTGTTTGGACGAACCATCTCTTGTTCAATGAGACTATCCTGCTTGCTGAATGATCATAACTAGTTAACCAAACTTTCTATTAAGTTTTAAAAACTAATATATATATATATATATATATATATATATATATATATATATATATATATATATATATATATATATATATATATATATATATATATATATATATATATATATATATATATATATATATAATATGGCACAACTCTCCTAAACACGAGAGTTAAGTATACAACTTTAGAACACTTTCCCACCAGGAGACTCGAACCCTAGCCAGCACAGAAGCCTTCCAGCAACTGGCATAAGGCGTACCTGTTATGCCAGTTGCTGGAAGGCTTCTGTGCTGGCTAGGGTTCGAGTCTCCTGGTGGGAAAGTGTTCTAAAGTTTATATATATATATATATATATATATATTAGTTTTTAAAACTAATCCTCCGTGGTCTGACATTGTCACATTCTTAATCACGTGTTTATTTTCGTGATATACACACATATATATATATATATATATATATATATATATATATATATATATATATATATATATATATAATATAATGAGAGATAGTAAAGGCTTCAAAGTTACTTGATAGGAAACATTTAATAGTATTAGCACGCCATTCTTTCTTTGTAATGTCACATTTTCTGATTCGTATAATGCTGGTAACGCAATTATTAAAATAAAACTTGTTTATTCATTTATAAAAAACAATTTTTTCTTTGGCCTGCAATTTTTTAAATAAAATGTATTCATGTAATGAAAAGTTTAGAGGACTCCCCCCCCCCCCCCTTCCATGGCTAAGATTCTGGAAAGACCTGGGTGAATACTAGCTGGAAAATTTAGTTGTGGATTTACAGAGTTTCAGCAGGTAATATAAGTGGGGTTCAGTATAATGCTTCATGGTAATGTTAGAAAAGTAATGAGTGAATTTGACTAGATAAAAATGATCTGCCTTGCATGAGCCAATATGCATTCTGTAAGTTTCCTGTATGTTTTTCCATTTAAGTTTATTAACGGTTAGTTTTGCTAGAACTGATATTTTCAAATGGTGTTAAATATATCTAGGCATGCCACCTTTTTTAAATTTGTTAGTGATGTTCACTTCCTCTCAGGGGCAGACACAAAGTGGCGGTGGGTGCGAGTCGCAAAGTGGAGACACAAAGGCCCCTAAAAAAAGTCTTCATAAAGGCTTGCAATGAAACTGAATTTTCAAGAAAAGAAGTGGTCTTCGCCATTGAAACAGATGTATCCGAAGAACAGGAGGCAACTCACCTCGAAACAAAAATACCAGAGAAACTGGGGACAGAAATTTTAGAGACACAGACTGAGTGCAATATTCTCCGTCATGAGATAGAAGAGTTTTTACCAATGGTGCGCTTCCTCACCATGACGACGGATGAGTTCACACAGATTGTTCTCCCCTCCGGTGTCTTTAATAATGACGAAAGCATTGCTATTCTCCTAAAGATCAAGGGTGTCCCAGGATCATGCCTACCGGCTGTAGCACCATGTGAAAGCCTTCACAGGCACCTAAATAAGCAGGAGACATTGGAAGTACTCCTGGTAGAAGTGCAGGAAGGTCCAAAGGCAAAACCGCCTCCTGGAACGAGGAGAACTAACAGGACCTTGGTATTCCGGAACAGAATGGATGAGAGAAGATTTAGATTAGGGGAAGTAATGTGGAAGTATTGAAGTAATTTAACTTTTGAATGGTTTAATGTTAATATTTTATGAGAACTTTGGTTCTATTAGGGTTGTCTTCACATTTGAATGTGTACAAAAATAGTTCACCATTTTAGTTTTAGGGAGTAATTTTTAAATAAAAATGGCCTTTTAGAGTTATAAATGTTGGAATGTTTTCAGACAAAAAAAGGGAAGGCGACGGGACGTCGGTCATACATGTATTTGACAGTTAGTGGTTTTTCTTCTAATTTAAAGTCACATATTTGAACGTTTTATTCTGAAGTATATTTTTCCTATGGAAAAAAATGCTATTTTATATGCAAATGCTAATAAAATATATTAAATTTAACTTAATTTCACCATACCAAATTACATCTCATCACTGAACTTTGACATGAGCTCCCTTTTGGTGGTGGTCCCCTGCATGGTTGACCCCTCCCCACTACCACTTCTGTTGTGGTGACTTACTATTGCACGTCTTACCCAAGTTTCAAACTTTCTGGCAATCTGTTCCAGAAATAAAAAATGCCTAGTTTCCAAACCATTATTTATTCACTATTTTTCTGAATATAGACCCATCCATTTTTATTTTCAGGATACTTGGTAACAAATAAATTCGTTGTTACACCCTTTCATTTGTATTTGTCCAGTTCTATGTTAATCTTTTATTTTCAAGGGAATGTACATTTGGCGTTTTTTCTTCCCACACGTGGCCGTTTCGTATGGACCAAAGTTAATTTTGCCAAACCGTATCTGCATATTTTCAAAAGAACTTATGACGATCCTATAATAACAACACTTTTTAGTGCATAATCTAAGACGTCTAACACCAGTAAGATAAAACTAATAAATTACATTCAATGTCGTATTACTATATCTTCTCTGACGTTTTCTAGAAAATACTGCCCACCATCTGTCCTTCTGATACTAGACACACTCACTCCCCCCCCCCCCGGGAAAGTACTAAAAAAACTATTGTTAATAAAGAGTAATGTTGTGTTATTCGAGAATTTGAGGCATAAGAGTAAGGCCGCTTGCATCTATCTAGTACAGAGGACTGAGAATTGTTTAAATCGGAGAAGGTACTGCTCACCCCTCCCCCCCTCCTTTTTTTCCCGTAAGGTTCTTAATTTTGTTAAGAAATCGGATCAATGACAGCCAAATAAGGCGTATATATACTGTAATTGGGATAGACAATTTCTTCAGCCACTGTTGTAAAGGTGGGAAGGGGGGGGGGGTGCCGCGAGAAATGCATTAGTGCTGTAGGTTCAGCATGTGGTTCTTCAGTCTACTAAGAACAAAAGTTCAACATGTCGACTTCATTGTTGATCAGTTTCTTTAATTTTAACTTTATTTACCCAGGAGATGTTATAGTTAACAATGCGTGCATTTTCTTGGAAGCAAAGTTAACATACAATACCTGGAAACATGTAATGTAAGGTAACTACTGTATTGAGGTTACTATGTGGGTACCACCCGGTTTGCTGGCTCCATCCTATAACCGAGCGAGTCTCTTGCAACCCCCCTTCTCCCCCCCCCACACCTTGTATATATAGCCCCCCCCCCCACACACACCTTGTATATATAGCCCCCCACACACACCTTGTATATATAGCCCCCCCACACACCTTGTATATATAGCCCCCCCCACACACCTTGTATATATAGCCCCCCCACACCTTGTATGTATAGCCCCCCCCACACCTTGTATATATAGCCCCCCCCCACACCTTGTATGTATAGCCCCCCCACACACCTTGTATATATATAGCCCCCACACCTTGTATGTATAGCCCCCCACACACCTTGTATATATAGCCCCCCCCACACCTTGTATGTATAGCCCCCCACACACCTTATATAGATAGCCCCCCCACACACCTTGTATATATAGCCCCCCCACACACCTTGTATATATAGCCCCCCCACACACCTTGTATATATAGCCCCCCACACACCTTGTATATATAGCCCCCCCACACACCTTATATAGATAGCCCCCCACACACCTTGTATATATAGCCCCCCCACACACCTTGTATATATAGCCCCCCACACACCTTATATAGATAGCCCCCCACACACCTTATATATATAGCCCCCCACACACCTTGTATATATAGCCCCCCACACACCTTGTATATATAGCCCCACCACACACCTTGTATATATAGCCCCCACACACCTTGTATATATAGCCCCCCCACACACCTTATATAGATAGCCCCCCCCACACCTTGTATATATAGCCCCCCCCCACACACCTTGTATATGTAGCCCCCCCACACACCTTATATAGATAGCCCCCCACACACCTTGTATATATAGCCCCCCACACACCTTGTATATATAGCCCCCCACACACCTTATATAGATAGCCCCCCACACACCTTGTATATATAGCCCCCCCACACACCTTATATAGATAGCCCCCCACACACCTTGTATATATAGCCCCCCCACACACCTTGTATATATAGCCCCCCCCACACACCTTATATAGATAGCCCCCCCATACCTTGTATATATATATATAGCCCCCCCCACACCTTGTATATATATATATAGCCCCCCCCCCACACCTTGTATATATAGCCCCCCCACATCTTATATATAGCCTCCCCCCCACACATCTTATATATATATATATATATATATATATATATATATATATATATATATATATATATATATATATAGCCTCCCCCCACACACCTTGTATATATATAGCCCCCCCCCACACACCTTATATAGCCTCCCCCTCACACACTATATATATATATATATATATATATATATATATATATATATATATATATATATATATATATATATATATATATATATAGAGCCTCCCCCCACACACTTTATATATAGCCTCCCCCTCCACACACCTAAAATAAATATATATAATATAATATATTATATATTATATATAATCACCCCCCCCTTACACACCTAATATATCTCCTTCCCCCCCCCCCCCACACGCGAGCGCGCGCACCTTCTTCACCTGGCTTTATCACTGTAAACCTCACCCTACCACACCCAACTCCACTTACACCCTCACCTTACCATACCCAACTCCACTTACACCCTCACCCTACCATACCCAACTCCACTTACACCCACCCATTGCCACCCGCACACAATTTCCCCAGGTCCCGCCTATCACTAACACTTTCATTGCACACTATCTACGTCACTGCAATAGAAAAATACGTTATTCCCAGATAGTAAATCTGTCATATGAACATTAGTTTTGCGTATCAATATCTGAATACCCGAATACTTACAGATGCCCCTGTCCGTAGATGCCTCTACGGACGTTTGGTTGTACATTTCGTATCTACCTACTTCGTGAAGGCTGTAGAGGCTGATTTCCCTTAAAAGGAGGGGGGGCAAATGGGCTGACCCGGATCACCCGATGAGCCTCTCCTAAATCACCAATCACTATAGAATTCCTGTCTTAGATATACAATGCAGTTGTGTGATGCTGGCCCCAAGCGTCTGTTTTTTCAACTTTGTACAGGGAAATATATTTTCTTCTACAGGTACACAGGGTATCCGGCGGTACCTGGGTCTATCCCACCCTCTCTATCATTCTTCCTCTTCCATTTTCTCTATCCTTTCCTTTCTTTCAGAACATTCAATATAGCGCTCAGCACACTCAATCATAACCGTTATTTGTTGTTGTTCTGATCCAAAGTTTAATAGTGTGGTTACGTAATGTGTGATGGACATCAGAAGTTTTTGAAAATACGCTGTGAACAAACTAAAATTTCGAACTTCCTTCGAGTTGTTGGTTTTTGCAATTGGAGCTGCTGCTACTAACGAGAGGGGGAGGGGGTCTACCCCCATCCTCCCTTGACACTATTCGGAGTATGAACATTCCAACCCATCCTCCTGTTTAGATACAACCCATAATACAAACATTGACGTACAAAGCACTTAGTAGAATTTTTGCACAGTTCACTAAATTTATAGAGTAAGAAAAAATGAAGATAAAAAGGAAACTTAAATATTCCTAGACTTAGTATAGATCACTTGTGTACTATATTAGGATTAAGATAGCACATATTAGGCCTCAGAAAGTTAGGTTAGTTTAGTTTGTAACATAAGTAAAAAAGTGTCAGAACTCGATAGTACCGATTTCTACTTTCTAATTGCTTTGTTCTTTGGTATATGTACTATGGTCCTCATTCTTCCTGCAAGTAGTACTAAAACAAGAGGATGGGTTACACAATTCACCATGGAAAGTTGTGCGAGGGTAACCACACCTGATTGGCCTCCAACCTTGGACTGACTGGCACTCTTTGATTTTGTTAGATTTATAAATATACACTTATTAAAATCATCTCGAAACCACGTGTGGTAAAAAAAATGCAGTAAATTATCAATATGCATAAGAAAAAGGAATTTTATCTTGTATATGTACAAATATATCAAAGAAAGTTGAGATACGAAGTAATATGATGGGATCGAGCCTGGTTTTTATTAAATATTTATTTCATTTAAAATTATTATTTTCCTTCAAAGATCTGTACGATACTTCGCTAACATCATTATCAAACATAAAGTATCCTTCCTATAAAATCTATGCATATGAAATATAATACATAGGAATACTTTTCTTTAAAATTTAACTATTTATTCCGGAGCTCCAGGAAGGCGACAACTTAGGCGGTATTCTGGAAAGAGATCCAGGATTTTTTTCTTTTTCTTTTAAAGCTTTGTAGAGTACGAGTTTTCTGGAAATTCATTGGACAAATGAAGTAGCAATATTTGTACTGCCAATCTCTGTGCCCAGGGCCAAGATTTCACGAATTGCGATAATGATCCTGCGTCCTGCAAAGTATAATTTGATCTGCCACATTGCTTCCCTATTATTAGACTTCTATCTTCATCTTAATCTAATACAATGAAATAGCTCAGTTTTCCTAATTTTTACCTACTAATGGCTATCGCTAAGAATCGCTGCTTCAAAGCTATTATGAACTTTTATGAGAAATTAGGCCAATGTATACAGTGTCTTTCGATTCACGTGCATCCAGCAATAACCTAAACTCCAATAAAAAAGATCGTTATAATGACTTTTATGAATATATCAGCCGTCATAAGGCTGACTTATTCAACCTCATAACCAGGATGCCGATTTTTTTAAGGCAACTTATTCACCAAGCGGCACTTTCACTTTGGATGTACGTAAAATCAATAGTAAAATCAATGACGTAACTTAATAAACTGAATAAGAAAGGACCAGAAAAAAATTATTCTGACCAGAAACTTTGTGCATATCCTATGACTCCCACACTCGTCTATTTAAAGTATTAACTTAAAATCGCTATCATTTCTCATTTCGTTCCCAAATTACCACCCTCATACCTTAAATGTTTTTGTGCGACGCAATCCTCCATTTGCCATTCATTGGTTCTTTCCTCCCCTTCACTATCTAGCCCGTTGTCATTTTTTTTGTATAGTATTTTCTACCATAGACGTGGGCACACATTTACAATGATAATCTGCATATATAAATTTTCTTCTGTCCTCCATCGAGAGGGTTAGAGATCTGTTAAAAATATAGTTCAGTGATTTATTTAATAATCAACCACAGAAAGTGTTTGTAGTGCTTTTAAAATGATAATCTAACCTACATACATATATACACAAATTTACGTATGTCCTACATAAACAGTGTTCGATGTGTCTTTTTATATGGTGTCAATAATGTGCATTTACAAACACAATAATGTGCACTTGTTAACACAAAAAATTATTATAATTCATCCTTAGGTTACAACACAAATTTAGTCTTGAACTATGTTTAGGACTAAATTATACCTGGTAGTTTGTCAGTAAGATAATGTAGTCATGATAACCATCCAAAGATTGCTAGGTCTTTGAATATGATCACAATTAATTTTTTTTTCATTCAAAACGCATTTTGTCAGGTTATTGTTTGTGTCACATGCTTAATTATAACAAAAATTAATTGTTGTAATTTTACTTAGACATTTAGCAATGTGTAGTGGTCGATTGTTTTCATTCTCTTTGTTCTGATGATGAAAATCGTTCTGCTTTTCCATTGATTATTTTTCAATATAGGTCATCATAATGTTTTCTCTCTGGATATTTGTAATTAACTTGTTAATGGAGTCAGATGGAGGCTAACTGCAATTCGATCTAACTTTACCTTCATGTATTTCAGTAAGCCAGTACTATTCCCTCCCCTGTACGTATCACATATTAACTAAAATTCCCGATGGCGAACAATTAACACACACAAGGTTATAGGAGGACTCAAACATGGGATGTGATCCATTGGTGAGAAGGAACGTGTCGACGTCCTCGCACATGTGTTTATCGTCATTTAAGTTTCTTTCTGTTAGAGTTCTTTGCTAATTATTCTAGAGCAGATATAGCTTATCGACTTCTTCATACTTGGGCTCGTCGCTGTCTTTTGAATCTTTTATATCGTCGTAGAGCTTTTGTTGGTTATTCTTTGGCAAGTGGAACTTGTCCATTTCTTCATATTTGTGCTCTTCAGTATCTTTTGAACCCTTTATATTGGTGTAACAGTGATCTTCCTTATTCTTCGATATTTGGAACTTGTCGATCTCCTCGTACTTGTGCTCTTCATTGACATTTGAACCATTTACATCGTCGTAATTCTGCTTCTGATCCGATGGTGCAGGGAATTTGCCTACTTCCTCGTAGTTGTGTTCTTCGTTGTCGTCTGGGTCCTTTACAATACCTTTATTTTTCTGCAGGCCATTATTCGGCCTCTTGATCGGTTCCAAGTAATCAGGTTCCTTGCTGTTCTCCGGAATCTTTCCTGCAAAAATAAGCTTACGTTATCACTGGGCTACAGGCGAATTTGATAATTAACTTCATACATGTTTTCCCTCACTAAGTTTGGCATTCATTCTTTCTCACTCACTCACTCACTCACTCACTCACTCACTCACTCACTCACTCACTCACTCACTCACTCACTCACTCACTCACTCACTCACTCACTCACTCCAAGTGACCCTTGTCACTTGGTCATAGAATTCCAATAGGCCTGTGAGGCAATATTTACCATACCTGAATCCATGTTTGTTGAGTCACGAAGTCCCTTCTTTTCAGAAGTGCTACTAGAGTTTTTTCTCACGATCTTCTCCATCATCTTGCATGATATACAGGTTAGGGATACTTGCCTATAGTTCAGTGCCTCCTGTCTGTCGCGATTTTTTGTATATTGGGCTACATTAGCTGTCTTCCATATTTCAGGTAACTTCTCACCTAGTAGGTCTTCTGTTTCCTGTGACTTATTATACACTATGGAGAATGGCAAGAAAAGTGCATCTGCAAACTCTTTCAGTATCCGTGGGGAGACTCCGTAAGCCTTTTTCACATCAGATCCAACAGATGCCGCCTAACCTCATCTCTTGTAAATTCGAGCCTTCCAGTGTTGTCTGGTTAATTGCCACCTCTCTTAATTAAGAAACATTTCCTCGTGGTACCGTAAAGATCTGCTGAAATCTCTTGTTCTTCACACAATTCTTTGTTATTTTCTGTGCACCTGTCCTGACCTATTCTCAGTTTCATCACCAGTTCTTTCAATTGTCCTTGGCCTATAGAGCAGTTTTGGGTCGGTCTTGACTTTATTTGCTACATAATATTTTATACTCCCTCTATTCTCTTCTCACATTGAGGTATTCATTCCTGGTTTTCTGGTATCTCTCTGCTCTCCGGCATTTGATGCTGTGAATAGTGTTTTGTGTATGTGAATATGTAGCATGTGTTTGAGAACTAAACTAACCTCATTGAACGTGCTAGTGATGAATTTAAACTTCTTGGTCACGACTCTCAATATTCAGTGGATTTATGAACAAGTTCCCTAGATTATTGGGCGTTCACATAAAATTTAAATGCCCTCCATGGAATCTACATCCAACACTTCAGTGGATAGCATAATCAGTTCTTTAGTCTAGCACTTTAAAATTTATATCATCTGTGTTTCATTCAGAAGTTTAATTTTTCATAGGCTTCCCTTGTTCGTGTGTATTCACTCGAACAATCTATCTCGATCTCTCCAGTATAGACTCTTGAGAATTGTATATGTTGTGATCAGGTATTATTATTTTTATCGTAACACTCACCTCTCACCAGTGGGATTATATTCATGTAAGATGTTTATTTGTCATGTCTTGTTTGTGTTTATCAAAATGTTGGCTGTATACTAGTTCTTCATATTGTAGAATCGATTTGGCATATGTACTATGCTCGGTGTTGATCCACCATTAATTTAGATTAATAGGAACGGCTTTTATGTTGACAGAATTTCGCTATGCATCCAACGATATTTGGACTTGCTATTGTTATTGACTGGAGCTGAACGTGGAAATATTCCGTTATATACCTCAGAACCTCATGTATGCGATCCATGTGCTTCATTTGATTTTGAAAATTGAATTTGAAATAAGTTTATTGAGGTATAAATACACGCAAAGGGATGAGATAGCTTAACCCATTCTCACCCGGTTCATTTGCTTCATGAGTGTTGACATTCATCCACCTACCATATGACTGATCAGATAATACTCTTTTGCTTACACAAAGCCGGTTTTTTTTTTTTACTAAACTTATTTTGCTAAACTAAACATTGGATACTGAACACCATGTTAGGTTGCGTTTCTTCAGGATTCTAAAGTACCTCCTATAAACCCAACTTTCTGAAGGATGTAAGGAAACTGCCAGTAAACTTGAAACGAAAGTCGTTAATCGATTAAAATCCAGGATCACTCACTGTAATCTCCATCTAACACGAAACCTTAAACCCATTTTAAAGTACCCAATAAAATTTGTTACGAATTTCCGATTTCAAGAGGATTCTGTTATAACTGACCAATCTATATATCGTCTTCTTGAAAACATTCTGGCATTATATCCCTACCTATACACCTATAGGTATAGATGTAAATGTAGTGAGCCTCGCTTATATCCCCCGCACCTCACCCTAGCATTATCTCTCAAGCTTCACTCTACCTTCGCCTCCCTGCCCTCACCCTACCATTGTAATCATCAGCCCTGTACATTGCTGATATATTTGATATATTTACAGACAAGATATCTTCTAGAAACAAATTCTATTTTCATTATTGTGTTTGTTTACATAGACTATCAAAGTAAAGTATGCTCTTCCTGTAGAATTTGTTGTTTGTAATAGTTTCAAAAGAAATTAAATTGTTAGTGGTGTCATAATATTAATCAGATAATAGAACAGATATTGCAAAGTGCAACAAAGGGAAATATTGACTCCATATCTCAAGAATTTTAGAGACAAGATAAAAGTGTTATAGGTGTTATTTACGATACACCAAAAGTTTAATTACATTTGATCAGATAGCAGTATTTTGTAATGAAGGAGAATTTATCGCAGTGAATAATTTTAATTTGCCAGCATTAAAATGGGACACTCTGTACTAACACTGGGCAAAGAATGAACATAAATTCAATGAAACAGCGCTGTATCACTTATTTTTGGAGCCCACTTGGGATCAAAACACGGGAATAAAGATTCCCGTTAAAAGGATCGTTGAAGAGCATGACAGAGGTAAAACTTGGCTCTCTCTTTATCTTTCAATCTGTATCTCTACTCAACCCATCGAGCAGTGGAAAGCGCAGTCGGGTCGAAGCCGAAAGGTCACGACTTCGAATCCCGGGAGAAGACGTGACCCGGTAAACAAAGGCGTTTAGGCAAGGTTTTCTCTCGCCTGATATCTCTGTACACCTAGCAGTAAATACGTAATCGATAGTTTGGCATTTGCTGTTGGTTATATCTTGCAAAGGTTAGTAGTTAGTCTAACACATTTCCTGTCTGGGACAATGAGACACTATTATTTCAACGTAAAACTATACTCGCCTTTCCTGTTGATGATTCGCTTGCATTTCTTCCAGTAGAGGCATAACAATGTGCTCACGACCATAGCCTTGATGATTAACACCGCCAGGAGGCTGTATATGGCCACCTGGCACCTCCAATGTTCCGCATTCCCCATCTCGGTATCAGGTGTTGTGCTGGTGTCTGTCTAGCAAGTTTCTTGCACACCTGGGATAATGTTGCCTGAAATAAATTTAATGGTTTATCAATATGCTAATATTGTAGTTTGTTTACATTCTAATTCATTTGTTCATGCTCCTACTAATCCACATATTAATGTATCCAGCTGTGTACTGTTGGGATGCAAGGGGTAAAAGCTTGATATTATCTACGGACATAAAGGTATTAGAAATACGAGTGTAATTGGGCATCGGCTTTGATGAATCAGGTAAGTCGGTGTACGTTCAAACGCTTATGTACAATAAACACACAACAACACGACGCTTATCATATCATGAGAACGGGGTGTGTTCAGAAGGCCAAATAAATTGGTTTATAACCTACAGGAGTTTACGTGTGTAAGGTATAAATTACCTTTCAGACACGCCTCTTGTTGACTATGTAATTCCATCAAATACGTAAAGTGGAGCCACCCTCAAATTAGCAGTCTTTTTCTAAAGATATTGTTCAAAAGCTGTGCAATCCAGGACGGACTGAAGCGACGTCGTTTCATCTTCTTCTGGTGTGTGGTTTGGTCATATCTTCAGCCATGTTATTGTGGCATCATCTATGTAATATTGTACGTTACATATGGTTCATGGGTTAGTCATTATTAATTACATAAAAACTTTTATAGAAAAATGTTTTCACTTGTTTTCTGTGTTCGAAGTGCAGCTATCTAAATGCGTCACCAATATACTCTCATTGCGTCATCCGCATCCTCTGGAGCAGCCAAAACACACAATTTACTAAATACCTGCTGCATACACCTTTGGATATGGCCGAAGCTTAAAAGAGCATGGTTTTTGGCAACCAATCTTGAGGCAATGCGCGTCATGGCTGTGCCGACCCTATTGATCAGTTTCTCAACCGGGGTTCCCTGGAACCCTAGAATTTTGCAAGAGGTCGCTAGGGGACGCTAGATATCAAGAGATATCTGTTCTGATGGTGCCGCATCAGTGGTTGGCTCTGTAAAAGGTTTTGTATTTCTTGTAAAACAAGAAAATGTCGCTGTTATCACAACATACACTGCTCTCTTCACAGAGAGGTGCTGATTTAAAAATCTCTTGGACATGAACAAGTTTTTGATCATGCCACAAATATGGTCAACTGTAATAAACAAAGACCAGTTCATTTCAAAATGTTCATAAAGCTGTATGAAGACCTGGACAAAGAGCATATAAATCTCTTGCTATATACAATAACCCATCTGGAAGACTGTTGGTTAATCTCGAACATTATTTCCCTCCCTTTCAACACAAGTGTATGATTAGATGAGAAATCCATACTCTGAATGTTGCTGCTATTCTGCTAATGAATGTTTCACGCATCACATTTGAGGTAATGTCTATTTCCAGACCTTTCTCTTTTCTGATTAAATGACCTGAGTTTCCCTCACCCTACACTTCTGTGCTGGTCTTCGCACTCCTGTTCGAATCATCACAATTTTACACTTGATTGGGTTACACATCCATGTTTCGGACCACTTGGAGTGTGTCCAAATAAATTTGCAATATATTACAATTTTATTTGTCCTGATTCTTCTTATCAGTTACGCGTTATCTGTAAACACTGATATGAATGAACCAATTTTCTCTGTCGGGTTGTTGACAAAAATAAGAGAAGATGGACCCTAGAACTGACCCTAGTGATCCTTCAATCGTAACCTCTCTCCACTCTGATATCTCTTATTATTCCAGCAGATGTTTCAGCTCCCTGAAGCCCTTTGCTTCCTTCTTGGAGGCATACATTGACTCACCTTAGGACTACTACTGATACGCAAGCCAGCTTCTTTACCTTGAGTGGAAGTCTCTTATGCGGGAGAGTACCGAATACTTTTTGAGAGTCGAGGAATATGCAATCTGCCCATTCTTCTCTCTTGCTTGATATCCGTCACCTTATTGTAGAACTCACACTCCCACTCTCTTTCCATCTTCACCGATGGGTCTAAGTCTGCGGACGGTGTGGGCTACTCTGTTGTTTTTCCCAACCACACTTATATGTGTCACCTCCCTTCGGAGGCTAGCGTCTTTACAGCGGAACTTTATGCTATTCTCTATGCTCTCCGTCTCTTGCTTTCTCATTGTCATTACTCCTTTGGGGTTGTAGTTGACTCTCGTAGTGCCCTCATGGCTCTAGGGTCCTTTAATCCTGTCCATCCGGTGGTCATCGAGATTCAACATTGGCTGTTTCTTATTTCTAGTAAATTTAAATCAGTAGAGTTTTGCTGGGTTCCCAACTATATTGGTGTTTCTTTCAATGAGCGTGCGGATGCAGCCACTAAGGAAGCTATCCGTTCTTGTCCCATCTCCCGTAAAGGTATTCCTTATTCCGACTTTTATCCTGTTATTCATTCCTCCATCCTTGCCCGTTGGCAGGGTTGTTGGTCCTCTGTAGTTAGTAACAAGCTGCGTACTCTCAAACGTAGTGTGTCCCCGTGGCCTTCCTCCTACCACCGTAACCGGCGGTGGGAAACTGCTTTGGCAAGGCTGCGGGTTGGCCATACTCGCTTAACCCACGGTCACTTCATGGAGCACCGCCCTGCTCCTTATTGTCCAAATTGCGTTGTCCCTCTTACAGGTGTGCATATCCTTGTTCAATGTCCTGACTTCCAGGACGAGCGTGTCTTGCTTTCCGACCGTCCCTCGCGGTCACTTGTCCCTCGATAGAATTCTAGGTGAATCGGATACTTTTGATATCGTTCGCCTTATGCGTTTTTGTTTTCGTATTGGCATTCTTAGTGATATTTAGCGCCCTCTGATTATTTCGCACTTTGATGGTGCTACATAGCCTTCCCGGTTTGGTGTCTTCTTTTGATAATTACCTTACCTTATTGTATAACTCAAATAAGTTTGTCTATTTTCTTTTGCTAAATCCATACTGGTGTTTTGAGAAAAAATTAGTTGTTCTGAATGTTCTTCTAACCTGCATCGGATCAGTCTCTCTGACTTATAGGGAAACTTAATGATGAGGGTCTGTATTTAAATTTTCTGTTCTTGTCTTCCGCCTTGCCTCTAGATTGTTACCCCATAAGCCGTTTCCCAGCAGACAAGATCGAGCATTCGCCTAACCTCGCTTTTCGTTCATTAGTACTCTTTTTCTCGTTTTTCTTATCTTCTTTACATTTAAAATTGTATTTTGAATTGTCTTCGACAACTTCCTCATTTAGTCCGTTGAAACTTTGCTGATAATTATATTCTAAAAAATTGCTTTTGGGTGGGTGGGTGGGTGGGTGGGGGGTTGTGTAAATGTAATTAAGAACCATCCCCATCGCAAGAGTATTATATAGAACATTTTTAAATTCAAACCAAGGAGCGTGAGACCAAAGACTTGTTTCCACGTTCACTTCCCCGATTTCACTTTCTGGAGTGCTCCTTCACACAGTTTCCGTCTAGTTCACCCCTTCTTGGAGTGCTCCTATAGGAAGTGAGGGCCAAGTTCACTCCATTTCGAAGTGCTCATAGTCAATGTTTTTTATAGTTCTCTTCTTTATGGAGTACTAATCCAGATAATGCCGGCCTAGTTCACTCATCATTAGAGTGCTTTATTAACTCCTCTTTGGAGTGTTCCTCAACATAGTATCAGACAGAAACGTCGTCGTCCCTTCACTTTCTAGTGTGTGGTTTTGTCAACATTGTATCAGACAGATCGTCTACAACAAGAATAACAATGCTTCCTCCACTAGGACTGTATATCCAGATTTCTTCTTAACATTTCCACCTAAAATTTCCAAATGCCTATTCTACCAACTCTGTCAACAATAATTTCTTCAACATAAGGCAAGTTGCAATGTCTAGCTCTCCATAGGCATTATTTATATCTTATTAAACATCTTGCTATTTTTGCCTAGTTTTTCCTCGACAACAAGAATAGTTTTATCACCTCTTTGGATGAAGTGTTTAATTTCCTCGTCAGTAATATGTTCTACACTTAAAAACGAATAACTCAACGAAAAAAAGTATCTCCATCACTGTCCACTTATAGTCTGCTGGAGAAGGAATATTAGACGATATTCTAACAATCCTTTAACAGAAGCACATAATTACCACACCTACCCTCTTCACCACCACCACACATATCAACGTAGTAGAAAAACACAAGTTCATTACATTACCTCGTATAATTCCAGCAGATGACCAGCGAAAGCAATTCCAAGAATATCAGACGTATTGGAGACTTGTGTAGCTCTTTAGGAACTCTGAAATGTATGTGGCTCCCTGTCGTATACGTGACGTGTTTAGCTCACTGTCGTAGCAAGACGTGTGCAGCTCTTTGGAGTATGATGAACTTTTATAGCTTCCTGGGGTATACGAGACGTGTGTATCTCTCTGGAGTATGCAAGACGCGTGTAGTTCCCTGGAGCTACTGGTAACAGTAGTCGTAACTTGACGTGCGCTGCTCCCTGCTGTGTGCAAGATGCGTGTAGCTTTCTGGTGTCACCAAGACGTGTGAGTGGCGAGGTGTGGGGAGTGTCGGTCCCAAGTGCTCCAACAAACACACATCCGGCCAACTTCTCTGACGCAAGAATTGATGATAAAGAATTATGTGACCATAACTTTCATTGGTTCTATTCCAAACCATTTCATCCAGCTCTGATTTTAATGTTAATTACTAAATGATGACCTATGTTAAAGTTACAACATTGCAATTTTGCCAACGAGGTTAACGCTGGGTAAACATCTTGGTGAGTAGGTTGATTATGGCAACATATCGCAGAACACTATTTTTACACCATAAAAAATCCTCGACGTTTTAAGACTTTAAATTTAAATATACTTGAATATAAATAATAATAAACAAAATATATATTATAATGAATATAATTTTTATTATGTATAATATTATAATACAAATATTAAAATATTATTAATCATTATAATTATAATAGTAAACGAAATGCACAGAATAATATCAGTAATGATGAAATTTGCATATCAGAAACAGAAGCTTTATTCGTAATTTATAAATAGAAGTTAGAATTCTAGCTCTACCGAAGGAAGTGCATTAATGTAAATTAAACCAACTTATTTACACAATTAGAATTGTGATATAAATAAGTAAACAGTGTAGTAGCAGTAAAAACTACAGTATGCGGCAAAGAAAACAATTGTAGGTAGGAGTGATGTTAATAATAACCAGTGGTAATATTATCAGTAGTGGTAATAGCAACAGGTGAATTACTGGACAACAGAGCCAGAATGCAAATGGGAAAATTGTGTGAAACCCGGGTACGGCTTCAGTGGAGGCGTCGGGAATATTATTGAGTGCAGTAGTACCCTAGATTGCAATTATTTTCATCCCATTGTGGCGTAGGCGTTTAGAGCGTTCATCTGGGAATACCCAGCTCATAGGTTCGAATCCTCATAACGGCTCCTGTGGATTTTCTCAGTAGTAGTAATAGTTGCTGTAGTGGTAACGAAGCAGTAGTGATAACAGTAACATTAGTGGTAATAGTAACAGTCAACCCGTTCTCGCACTTTCTTAGTCAATATTGACTTATTAAATACGTGCATATGTGACATACTAAACATACTAGTTTACCTTGAAAAGCTTCATAGAAAACACTGACCTTACCTAACCTTCTTAGTTTGTTAAGATAAGCATCTTATTGCTTCGTAATTACAATTATTACTTAACCTATTATAGGTATGTTTAGTATAATTATTACTTAACCTATTATAGTATGTTTAGTATGTCACATATGCACGTATTTAATAAGTCAATATTGACTGTAAGAAAGTGCGAGAACGGGTTGTAACAGTAGTCGTAACGCAGTATTAGTGGTAATAGCATCAGTAGTGGTAGCGCAGCAGTAGTGATAATAGTATCAGTAATACGTCGCTCGAAATACTAGCAACATGTGTTCCATAATACTCGCAACATATTATGGTTGCTCTGATACCCTTCAGAAGGCTGATGCCCCCAGCCTTCTGAAGCGGAGCTTGGGCCGCAAGAGCCCCACACCTACGGGCTCCAGACAGAGATCGTCACAGCCCTCTCTCACCGGAGGTTCCTTCATGACTCGGCAGAAGGAAATGTCATAATTATTAATTAATTGTTATTATAATACAACAATTATTATTAAATAATTTAGTGATATTTATATTTTAATATAATTCGAGTAAATTTCGAATTATATTATAATTATAATAATATAGTTAATTAAAAATTATTACTATTCCTTCTGCTGGGTCATGAAGGAAGCCGGCCTCGGGTGAAAGAGGCTGTGACGATCTCTGTCTGGAACCCGTAGGTGCGGGGCTGGGACGTCCACCTCCTGGGGCTCGTGGGCTCCGCTTCAGGAGGCTGGGGTTGTTCTTGCCCTTGCTGGGGTGGTTCTTGTCCGGCCCCGACCACAGCGGTCTCCGGGTTTGGAGTCCCTGTGCCTTCTTTCACCAACTTCGAGGTAAACTCCGGACCTGGAGCCCTTAGGGCAGTTAATTGTTACCTTCAACCTCGTTCTGACAGTTCCTGCGACGGTGCTAAAACCAATCGCATTGACGTTTGCCTTTCTATTGGAGACTTTTGGCGCCGTGGAGAGGGAGGACCAGCTGCATGGGTGACAGCTTCTCCCCCTTTATCAATCTGCCCTGGAGAGGCCACTCCAGACCGAAAACCAGAGTGCAACTCCATAGTCTTCGGAGACTGATGGATGCCTACTATTAATCCAAATCTAAAGATAACACTGAGACGAGAGGGGGTGCATCTCTCAGTGAATATATCCGTCAAATGTTTTTATATATACGAAAGTTATAGTCTCTGCTTTGTTATCATCAGAGTTGTAATTTCATATTCTACCGTTATTTTGTGTAGATTTTTTGTCTTGTCAAAATATGTTTTTGTTTTAAATTTGCATTAAAAGCTTAATTTGACGTATTCCTAAAATTTTCCTAGTTAAAAGTAATGACAAATTGTATATGGCTCTTAGGAATTTCTCTTTCGAACTGCCATTGGGTATTTACTTATTTTATTTTAAATATAATGAAATTAATCTTTCATGATTTACTAATGATGTTTTTGCTTTATATAACAATGAAACGTTAAGAATTAATTTGTCATGTTTTTTCCATCCTGTTTTTGTTATCTATTTACTATCCTGACTTAATAATATCTACTTATCATCTTGCCTTAGTAATATCACACACCATCCTGTCCCTGGTATGTGTGTGTATATCCGGCCCAAGAGTAACGTTAAGACTTTCAAAATGTCTTAAAATACGTTTTCTTTAATGCAGCTATATAATTTTATTGTTATAACACAACATAGACCGATCTGGAAGATAATTTCACATTTTATTTCGAGATAATAACGTTTGTTTAATTTGTTGTTGACTGTTGCTCTTAATTTTTTTTAAGATGGTCTAATATATGCAGCATATTCAAATTTGTTTTTATCTTAATCGTTGTATCGATTGTCTTATGTCTTCAACTGATGAGTTGGCCAAAATCTTTGCTCATAAAGAGGGAATTGATTGCCATAATGGACTGCTTTTGAGCAGCCTGAGGGCAGAAATATTCCGGGAACATCAACAAAATCTCGTAGACTTGAGGCAAAGTGAAATTCACACCAATTACGCAATCTATCATCATCATTCTATTATGCAGGAAAACCGCACGTGAATGGGTCATCCAATAAGGTTAGCAGACTTCTAGCAGTTATAACTGCTAGGCAAAGACTCTGCTACAAGTACATCTGGAATTTTTTAACATCTGATGTGGAGTTGACTAAATGTAAACTGTCAGCAGAATTTTTCGCATACTTTGCGTCATTATATTATGGAATGTGAAAAATCGCGGAATTCATTGTCCTAATATAACACTAATGGTGTTATAAAATGTCCAAGAGTTACTTCATTCATATTGATGTGCTGTCAGGAATCCTAGCAAAGTATCCCAAATTTACTTACTGTAGGTAATGATACCTGGTTGATACCTGGTTGATGGGGTTCTGGGAGTTCTTCTACTCCCCAAGCCCGGCCCGAGGCCAGGCTTGACTTGTGAGAGTTTGGTCCACCAGGCTGTTGCTTGGAGCGGCCCGCAGGCCCACATACCCACCACAGCCCGGTTGGTCCGGCACTCCTTGGAGGAATAAATCTAGTTTCCTCTTGAAATTGTCCACGGTTGTTCCGGCAATATTTCTTATGCTTGCTGGGAGGACGTTGAACAACCGCGGACCTCTGATATTTATACAGTGTTCTCTAATTGTGCCTATGGCACCTCTGCTCTTCACTGGTTCTATTCTACTTAGCCCGTAAGTGTGGGGCTCCTGCGGCCCAGGCTCCGCTTCAGAAGGCTGGGGGCATCAGCCTTCTGAAGGGTATCAGAGCAACCATAATATGTTGCGAGTATTATGGAACACATGTTGCTAGTATTTCGAGCGACGTATTACTGATACTATTATCACTACTGCTGCGCTACCACTACTGATGCTATTACCACTAATACTGCGTTACGACTACTGTTACAACCCGTTCTCGCACTTTCTTACAGTCAATGCACATGACTAAAGCTGCCGCCCATTTGGGTGGGTGTGGAGCAAGACTAGTAACTGCGTGACTCACCATAGATGTAAAGTGTCTGTTGTGAGCCTCTTGTTGACATACTCGTGATATAAAAAGATTACTGATACGTATATGTATTTGTGTAAATGATTGTGTGTGTGTGTGTGTGTGTGTGTGTGTGTGTGTGTGTGTGTGTGTGTGTGTGTGTGTGTGTGTGTGTGTGTGTGTGTATATATATATATATATATATATATATATATATATATATATATATATATATATATATATATATATATATATATATATATATATATATGGGGGGATACATAAGGGATAAACATAGGGGCTGCATTACACTGGATTAATCTTTGTGTTTAGATAGGAGATGCCTCGTATGGGCCAATAAGCCTTCTGCAGCCCCTATGTTTATCCCTTATATATATATATATATATATATATATATATATATATATATATATATATATATATATATATATATATATATATATATATATATATATATATAATGTCGTACCTAGTAGCCAGAACGCACTTCTCAGCCTACTATGCAAGGCCCGATTTGCCTAATAAGCCAAGTTTTCATGAATAAATTGCTTTTCGACTACCTAACCTACCTAACCTAACCTAACTTTTTCGGCTACCTAACCTAACCTAACCTATAGAGATAGGTTAGGTAGGGTTGGTTAGGTTCGGTCATATATCTTCGTTAATTTTAACTCCAATTAAAAAAATTGACCTCATACATAATGAAATGGGTAGCTTTATCATTTCATAAGAAAAAAATTAGAGAAAATATATTAATTCAGGAAAACTTGGCTTATCAGGCAAAATGGGCCTTGCATAGTAAGCTGAGAAGTGCGTTCTGGCTACTAGGTACGACATATATATATATATATATATATATATATATATATATATATATATATATATATATATATATATATATATATATATA